CTCCCCGCAGCCGGACACGGCAGAGAGCGAGCGCGCGCTCTCGGGAGGAGATGGCAAAGTTTTGGTTTTAATGCATGCAGGGTGCATGGTTTTGGCCAGGCAGCCACGTCCCCCAAGGCTGGGCGGGCACCGGCATCCCCCGCGCGGGGCCGACGGCTCCTCCAGCACCGAGGCCGTCAGGAGCGCAGCGCAGAGAAGGGCAGGACAGAGAAAGCACGGCAAGAACGGGCCGTATTCCCGCCCCCGGGCTCCCTCCCCTGCTCAACGCCAAGGCTGCGATTAAGCTGCAACCTCAAGGAAACCAAAGCAGCAGAAAAACTGCGACTACTGTGCAGCATCCACAAAAATAGCTGCTACAGGAATAGCCAGGAACACGAGAGGGACGTGGCCAAGGCTCCTCGCACATATCGCTGAAGGTTTTTTCCAAGCCCTAACCCATGTCCCGCGCTGCCGGCGCAGAGGAGCCTTCTCCATCCATAGCGCAGAGCAGCTTTGCAGCCCTCTAATCACACCCTCCCTGCAGCTCCCCCTGCAACCAGGGCCCGAGGAGGGCAAGACAGCACAGGGAAGTGTTTTAATTTGAACCATGCACTTATTTAAAGTTTTTTAATCACATAATTACTGCAGACATTTCTGCTCGTGTTCAGTTTTATTACATCTTTGTGGTTATTCTACAAGCCCTAAATTTTGGGCCTCAACTGAGTTGGCAAAGTCCTCTGGAAACATCTGTCCCGAGTTACTCCTCCTCCAGCGTTCAGGCAGAAAGCTGGCGGCACAGGATGTTGCAATGCGGAGTTTTATTTGCAACAGAAATTAAGTTCTTATTCCCGACCCAAACAAAAGTGTAAATATTTACTGCCTCGATATCAGCACTGGCCCTGCACCTGCGGGCCCCGATCGATGCCCCGGTGCACGGGGAGCTGCAAAGCCGCGGTTCTCCAAGAGGAAACACCGCGTTCGCCCCCAGGTACGTTGACTCCTCTCCAGCACGGAAGGGACCACGGCACGCACGAGGCTTCACGTCGGCTGCAAGAGCTGGCCCAAACCCCCCGGCCGAGGGCTCCCCGAGGACCAGCAGAGATGGGGTGGCACAGAGGCACATGGGTGCAGCCAGGGAGGCGCGCGAGCTGGAGGAAGGGGACATCCTTGGGCTGGGGACGCCATCAGCTTTGGGAGCCGCTTTCTGCGGCTCTCGGCTCGCTTTCGTTTTCCTCCTTCTGGCAAGACCTGCAAGCTAAGGGCGACGCCGTCCCTCCAAAGCCAGGGCAGAGCTTTCCCAGGATTTCCAGCACCAGTGGCGCAAGGACAACCTTCCCTGACTGCCCACAGCAGCGAGCGCCCCACGGAGACCATCTCCTGCTGGGAGCCGCAGTGAAGGTCCAGATCCCACCCGAGAGCAACGCAGAAACCAGCTTCCCAC